ATGGTCACACCAATTTAATCATTATTGTTATCGAGTGAGTAACATTATTTATGCTGTATTTTGTCTTTTTATATGTGAGTTTTAGATTGGAGATGGACCAGGTTCAAACCATAATCTCATGTTAGTCAGCTTCCTGAGAGCTAGAATGGCAGGAGTGAGCCACCAGAATTCATCTAGTCATTGTGATGACTTTTTATGGCAGCTTTTTTTGATACTCTTTATAGTATTCAATAAGGGAAATGAGGAGCAATATGGAACTTAATGTTGATTTGAAATACAGTTTTACAAAGCTGCTCTCATTCCAAAAATGTAAATGTCTACCTACTCAGGAGGATCAGATATGAATTCTATAGGATGAAAGTACATGTCATACATTTTAAAGTTTATTCATAATTAAAGCCAATTTTATCTCAGCTTGCCTTTACCACATTCATCTGAGGAAAAATTTTATGCTTTGATTTATTCAGACATCACTTGTTATTGCCCAAATGCTATCTGGAATACTAAGTGCTATGAGCAATTCCAAACAACTAAATATAGGTTTTAACTAAAACATGGAGGTAGGGCTCAGTGGTAGAGCATCCCTGGGCATGTACAAGGCCATGGGTTTGATTCCCAGTAACACTGAAAGCTAAAACTGAAACCAAAAGGCATGGGGTTATAAAGAAGTAGTACTATCCCAATAAAATAAGTAGATTATAAGAGAAGTAAGCATTTCTAACATAGTTAGAAGGACATTTGAAGGTGAAAGAGGAGGATATATGAGGAACTTAAACATAACATAATGAAGTAGGCATGAGGAGAACTGGTGACAAAGTGACCTGCTCTTTTGTTTTAATAGGTGCTTGTAAGGGTTATTTTCCTAACATTTATTAGAGAGTTTCAGTATACAGAAAAATGGCTACTATGAACTTAGATAATTAGTCAATAACTAGTCGTATTAAATGAATGAATTATACCCATATATATGCGTGTGTATATGTATATATGTACATATATAGTAGAATTGGTGACTACTGAGGTGTGTAACTGGATTTTCTCTATTATTTAATTATTGTTGTTACTAGTAAGTAGTTGTCCAAAGCATTTACTATTCTATAAGTCGGTTATGAGTACAGTGCTTCTTGGTCAGTGTTACCCCTCATTTGTTTTCCTTCATTTGCCCTCTCTCTCTCCCAGTTACATAGTTCATTTTTTACATAATGTACATTGAATATGATGAGTACATGTTCTTACCCTTCCTCTCTCCATTCCTCTCATTTGTCCATGCCCTCTCATTTGTCCATCCCCCAAAATGTGTCTTGATAAATAATATTTTAATTTTTCAAAGGAGTCATTGCAATATTTGAAGTAGTAGTAGTAGTAGTCCTCTTGCCTTAATTGTTTTGCACAGCAATTATCAGTAGTGGATTACTTATAAAATGGATGTATCTGCTATATGGCTTCTTATAAATGTACAAATGTTAAAGCTTCATTTTCTGCAAAAAATAACAGAAAATAAATAAATTATTTTTTTAAGTTCTGTGTATTTTCCCCTAAGTTTCAGGTTGAGTTTTTATTCTTTTTTTGGTCACAAATGGCAGATAACAGTTCCAAATCTAAATTCATTCTACCACAATAATGACATTTTCCAACTGTCTCATAAATTTGCAACATTTGGTAAAAGAGCGGCTAGTAGAGCAAAATGTGTCACCAGTGTTAAAGAAAATGGGCCAGTGATAATTAGTGTGCTATCTTTGAAGATAAAATTAGTGCTTGAAATTCAACATAATAATTGTACCAGTAAACAGTTATTGAGTACTTACAATGTGCCAACCTCTATGCTGAGCTAATTACATCATCTCTTTAGTACTCACCATGTGACCTGAAGATAATACTACCATGATCATTTTATAGAGAGAAAGTAGAACATTAGAAAAGTCTGAGTAATTTGGTTCTGCTCCAACAGCATAGCTAGCATAGCTAGACTTCAAAACAGGTCCTTGGAAGTTCTGTGGATAATGTTATTAACACCACTTTATGCAGGAGAACAAAAGAAGATTTAGAAAAGTCTAAATAATTTGGTAAAGTCAAACAATTAAGAGATAGAGACACTGAGTAATTCAAATGCAGGTTCTTCTAACTCCAAAGTCATATAGTGTTGCAGGTCAGTAATTACACTGTTTTGACAAAATTGAAGTTGTAAGCATGTTATTGTCATTTCCTTTTATTCTGACAACATTTAGGAAGCAATGCATTCAGGTGTCAACTGGCAGGAAGGAACACTATTGATAAGGACAGAATTGAGAGACAGAAATCAGCAATGAAAATAATTGAAATGTTTTCTGTCATATTCCTTTACAGACATCATACCTAAGAAAAATTGTTTCAGAACAAAGAAATTTGCTCTTAGTTTATGTTCAGTGTTTTTGTTATGTGCTTTAATGTTAAGTAAGAACATTTGTCTGAGTTCTACCAAAGAAACTCATCTATGCAAGCAAACATTCAGTAACTAGTTCCTCTGCTGTATGGTCAGTCTGAATTCATGTGTTCAATTCCCTATATGTATCTGTTCTGATACCCTATTTTGTGCTCTCTAAGTTTTATTTTACAAATTATGCTGCTAAGGTTTGAGCAGGAACAGTGTGCTTTCTTCATTGCAGAAAGTACTCTAGTGGACACTCAGTCCTAAAAATAAATGATAGAAAACAAAGCTCAGAAGACACTAAAATCTTAAAAAAGAATACTTTTGCAGACAGAGCACAATTGCTCATACCTGTGATTCTAAGTTCTCAAGAGGCTGAGTTCAGAACAACAGTTCCTTCCTACCCAGGCAAAAAGTTGGCCAGATCTCAACCAATAGCTGAGCGCCGAGAGCTCTCCTGTCACACTTTCTATATGTGAAGCTGAGATCAGAGGGATCACCATTTTATTACTAGCTGGGGCAAGAAAAGTTTGCAAGACAACATCTCAGTGGAAGAAGCTGAGCATGAATTGCCTATCATCCCAGGAAATATAAAATTGAAGGATCATAGTCCACTCACAAGACAGGCAGAAAGCAAGAATCTATCAACCAGTTCAAAGAAACACAGGAAGTATGGCTAAGTGGTAGTGCACTTGACTAGCAAGCATGAAGCCCTAAGTTTTACACTCTACAAATAAGCTTTTAAAAGTTTAAAACTATGGGTCACTAATTATTCTGCATGTGATTACTGTATGTTTTAAATAATATCTTTTCTTCTAGGGAATACAGTATTTGCCAATAAAATTGGAATATTTAACCATTTGCTTCACAACCTGTAGTAGCCAATATTTAGTGCTTATATTTTGTAGGCCTTCTACTTTTGGATATACAGAAATAGTCAAATGAGGAAACAAGGTATTCATTTGTTTAAAATCACTTAGTCATGAGATGCCATTTGTAAGCAGAGGATAATCATTGTCAATCTTAGAAAAGTTATTCTTAAATACAAACTTGAATTTAAATTGTCTTATATTGCTATGGGAAAAATACTTATACATTGTTGTCTGGACAAATAGGTGTGTGTAGATTTGTACCAAAGCTGAAGAGCACTTTGCCTTCTATCTTCAGTATTACTTGACATTTGAAATACAAACAACCCAGTTTACATTTTGTTCATCTAATCTCTTCAGATCATTTGCCACATCTGTTGAAAGAAGGGCAAACCAGATTCTATTTGATAACAGCTATATTTTTAATAATAAAATTTTGAATTTATATTAATGTGAATAATTTGGTAATTTAGACTTCCTTTTTACTTTTAATTTATATCTTTCTATGAACTTACTAGTCTTGGAAAAATATACCTTATAGAGCTAAATTATTACTCATTAAGAGTTATACAACTTTAATCCCACATATTCTCTTTCTAACGAATTATAAATTATAGTTTAAACTTCATTTCATGAACAAAGTTACCTCCCTGTATCATATGTGTATTTCCTTTGTTTCTTTATCATCTACAAGTGAATTATTTGACTGATTGCATCACAGTGCTGTATCATTTACATTCAAAGATCATTAATGTAAGTTAATGCTAGTGAATCTTTAAAAATCTTTATAAATAATGGCATCACTAATTGTGTTCAAGGACTTTGCCTTTTTCAGCAATATGATTTTCTTCTCCTTTGAAAGAGTATTAAATTGCATCACCCATCCTCTTTTAATATTTAATAATAATTTTATTATCTGTAAAAATGAGAGTCCCAAGATTTGTAATATCAAGTCCTGGTCATCAATTTTTTTCTTATCATGACTTAATGAATATTATAATTTCAAGAAAAGATAGAATATAAATTAGCTTGGTAGTGGTTTGTACTTCCCAGTTTATTGGTTTTAGTTTGGGAAAATCCCAGAATAGTCTCAAGAAAAGAGAAATAAATATCTAGAGGTGCTTTAGAAGTTCTGGCACAAAATTTCAGTAACTTGTTAGTCATTCCTGATTTTAAATAATGAACACAGTGATTTTCAATGAAGTTTGAACCCTCCCAGTAAGAATTCCTTCTGATTCCATAGCAACTACAGGGGCTCTTGATGACTTATAGTCTTGGCAGGTATATGTGCCTTTAATCTTTATTAATGCATTTTGACAACTTTTCATTATCATTTCTTGAACATTGGCACTGTTACTTTTTTCACCTAAGACAAAAGCATGAGTTATTTTGAGTGGGAAAACTTGGCATAATCATCATGGTAAAAACACTTTTTATTTAAGTAGCACTTCTCACCCGAGTTTTCACTGTACTTCTGAATATATTTTATGGCATCTGTGGGATGGCAGTCAGGGAAAAGTTATTTGTTGGTACTATACATTTGATGCTTTTGTAGAAATATAATTCAGACCATCTGGAGAAGGTAATCTTCCTCTCTAAGTATCAATATGTGTATGAAATGATTCCTGGCTTTTCAGGGTCATGTTATTTAAAAAGGAAACTAGAAATTGTTAAGTTTAGTAGATTTTAAGGCCTATTTTAAACAAATCATTTTTAACCCCCTCCAGCAACTACTTCGAGAACGACAGCAGATGGCCAGCCGTCCCTTTGCTTCTGTTGATGTAGCACTGGAAGTAGGAGCTGAACAAACAGACTTTCTGCGAGGGTCATTAGAGGTAGGAACAGTGGTGCTGAAAAGGGACCACTGTGATTTACATATTTACATTGCTATTCTAATCTGCATCTGCTTGTGAAACCACACAGTCTGATTATCTAGAGTTGATAAGATTCTGCTGCACATGCTATGCCACTTGCTAGGCACAGAGTTTTAATGGTATGACATGAGCTGTAACAAAAGCCACTAGAGAATCTATTAGCCTAGGCAAGAGTGACAGACTGCTCACCTAGGAGCTTTTGCTTGACAGAGTGGAGCTGAAGAAATTTAAGATATAGTTACAATGAGAGAAAAAAAATCACCTGTATTTAGTACCATGTGTCCCCTAGTTAACAGTAATACTATCCTTCTTAATAAAGTATATTACAAAATTAGGTGGAGATGAGCTGCGTTTTAGTTATGTAGTTTTGCTTTTGAATGTGAGAAGTATAAAATAGAGTGAATAGTTTTTTTGTGGAGTATGTATTATCATAGTCCTTTGTTACAAGTACAGAAATAGAATACAGTGAATCAGAAATCATGTGCAAGTAAATGTGGTATTCAAATCCCGAAACAATGCCTGACATGGCTTCTGAAAACAATAATCCAAAAGAGGAAAAGTGCACAGATTGTGATTAATGACTAATCAAAGAATTTTGAGGCATCCTAATTTAATTATATGCTTGTAATTTTATTTATGGTACAATGTTTAGGTAGGAAAATTCAGAGACTCTACAATTGAAATATTTTATTCCCTCTTTAACATGTTCTAATTGGACTAATTATATGTTGTTATTTTCTGATCTTGCTTTTCTTTAAGGAGAAGCAAGGAGAATAAAAATAAGACTCTTCCTCAACCCTAGGTACTAATGTAGTTGATTTCATTACATTTTTGGTTATTCAAGAAAAAAATAAAACATGTACCTTGTAGGTAGTATACAAAGGGCCAGATTTTAGAGGGAATGAATATTTGTGTGTGTGTGTGTATATACCTTTTGTGTCTGACTTTTTACTACTCTAGCTCACATGTTGCCATGGAAGCTTGGAGCATTAGGAAATTTATGTGTGTATTTTCAATTACTTGGGGAGAAATTAGAAAAGAGATGATGAAATGAAAGTACAGCAAATGCTGCATTTTGGCCCCTTGTTTCAAATAACATTAGTGCAAAACCTTTACCAAACAGAAAACCTGGACTATTTGAGTACAAATTCTCTCTTCTCTCCATCTGTTTAAAATGTTTTCAAATATTGCTGAAAATCAAATACAGGAAAAATGAAAGCAACTAACCCATACATAGGACAGGAGAGAAAACATGACAAATCAAACATGAACATGAATGTAAGTAACGTGGGTATGCCCCATTATAGTTTCCAGTTGCTTCTTAACAGTGTTCAAGATGTTCAACATTCTTTCCTTTTTATTTCTAGTTTTTTTGCTCATGGATTTCTTTAGTTTTTCACTAGAATAAACCATCTGAGAGATTTTTTTTTTTCTAGGACAATTATATGTGGCATTCTTTTTGAGAAATTGAATGCTTGTCAACATATTTTATTTGCTTTTTACATGGAATACCAATAGAATTGTATATGAAAATTCAAATTTAAAAGTTCCCTTTTTCAAAGTTTTAAAAATCTTGCTATGTTCTTTCATGTCTCATGTAAATTCGATGTTTTTGTCTTTTGCATATAATCTCCATTTTCTTCCTGCAATCTTAGACTTACTCTTAATTCTCAATGTTCTTAAATTTGCCAATAGATGGATATATAAGTTCATGTATATATGTGTGCATTCAAATTTGCCCCTAAGTTATAGAAAATATTGCCTAGTCAGCAATCAAGGTAGGCAGAAGTGAATGCTTAGAGTTATTTAAGTATCTGCAAATACGGCTATGAGATTCCTCACGGGACCTCAAGTGGTAGTTTGGTTAATTGAATAATTTTGTACTTTGTACTCAGAATTCTTAATTTAGTTCCAGATTTCTTCCATGTTGGCAAGTAATTATGATTTCTGATACTTAAAGATCCCTGTGGCCATATATGTCCAATGATCTCAAGTGAATTGACACCTTAGAATAATTTTAATGAATTCAAGTTGAAAACATTATTATTCTCTGGATATTTTTAGAATTTAATTGGTTGTTTACTTCTTCCTGTTAAAATTAAACATCAAAGTAAATCTCAGTAGCTAACTGCTAATTTCTTGCTATGACATCCTTTAGAAAATAATACAGGTAAAAGTAGAATGTTTATAATTATATTTTATTTCTGCTTTGCTAAGCATCTTGTAGTAATTACTACTAACTGGAAACTACCTGGCTGCTCCATACATATGAATATGCATACATATATACACATATTTGTAAGATTCGTTATCCATTGCTGCAGAACATTGGAATGTGCCTCACATCTCCTTTTTAATGTATAATTTAGTATGATGTAGTTTATTGATTTTTTTTCTTACCTGCAAATTGTGAAGCCTAGGCCTGTTTTGAAGTTACAGAAAAGTGTTACCTCAATGTAATAATCACACTAATTCTGAGATTCAGTTTTGCTTAAAATTGAGAATTTAGCTCCAACATAAGACTCTTGGATTAGCTCACTACTACTCTATACAAAAAGGTGGTAAGTTAAGGGATCTTTTTTTGTAATGGTAGTGAGGTTTTAACTTAGGACCTTGAAATTCCTAGCTCAAGCTACTACTTCAGCCATGCCTCTAGCAAGCTTGGCTCTATTTTTCAGTCTTGCATTTTTTCTTGCCTAGACTGGATTTAGGCTACAGTTCTCCTGAAGATTACAGGTGTGAGCTATATCTGTGTCCAGTAAGATTGGGTTTCTTCTGTCAATTAAATTTAACCTCCTTTGTCATTTTTGAGTTTCACGTCTGCATAGTCATGAGGAAAATGCAAGTTGCAATGAGAAATGAATTAACTATGTCTATTCTGTGAAGCAAATGTATTCCTTTAGTATCTCTTTTGTAGTTAATTGTATGTTGAATCTTTACTGTACCTTTATTGCACACCACACACCTTTTGTAAGCAAATAAAGATAACATACACTATGGATAACTGCTCTAAATTATCCATTGATAAGTCTTTAGCATTATGTTTTCCTATATTATAGTGATAAATTAAAATACATAATTAAAAATTTCAATAAATTCATTTGGAATGCAAATTTATCCCAAACCACAATTTATTAGTTGATTTTAAATTTTCTTTGAAAAAATTATTTTTATAGCAATCATATGCTCCATTGAATATATTTGTCATTTTTCTTCCAAGTAGTAGCAAGAGAATTTATAGTAGTTGTTTGACATATTTTTATGAGAAGCTTGTATCAGAATCTGTTTAAGGACAGGGTGTTGAGGAATATCAGGTAACACAATAAAGAACCCTGAAAACTTGCAGTTTGTATTGTAGAAGAAAAAATAAGTTCACATGTAGAGAGGTGATAACTGTAGTTGTTTAAAAACAGATCCAGAATCACAACAAATCAAAGAAAGACTAGATAAATAGTAGGATTGCAGTAAATGTTTAAAATTCCTGCATGGCAAAGGACATAGCAAATAAGCTAAATAGAAAGCCCACAGAATGTGAGAAGATTTTCACCAGGTATATATCAGACCAGGGTCTAATATCCAAAATATGCAAAAAGTTCAAAAATTACCTCCCCCCTAAAATAAACCCTCAATGAAATAACAACCCAATTATAAAATGGGCTATTGACTTCTGAGAGAGACTTCTCAGAAGAAGAAATAAAAATGGCCAATAGAAATATGAAGAAATGTTCATCATCTTGTCATAAAGGAAATGCAAATCAAAACAACACTGTTATTCTATTCTACCTCACTCCAGTAAGAATGGCCAATATCAAGAATATTAGCAATAACAAATGCTGGCATGAATGTGGCTGTTGGTGGGAATGTAAGCTTGTTCAACCTCTCTGGAAAGCAATATGGAGGTTCCACAAAAACTAAACATAGAGCTACCCTATAACCAAGCAATTCTACTTCTGGGAATTTATCTGATAGAAACAAATAAGGCCACACTAAAGCTACCATCATACCTATGTTCATTGCATCATTGTTTACCATAGCCAAGATATGGAATCAGTCCAGATGTTTTTCCATGGGCAAGTGGATCAAGAAAATGTGGTGTATATATTCATATTGGAATTTTACTCATCTGTCAGAAAGCAAGTTTCTTAGTGGGAACTGAAGGAAATCCAGGCCAGAGATCATGGTGACAAGACTAGGGCACTAGAAATGGTAACCATGAGAAATGGCCAAATATTTATGTATTTGTTTGCTTGTTTGTTTTGAGGTAGAGTTTTTCTAAGAAGCTCAAATGGGATTTATGATCTCTCTGCCAGAGCCTTTCAAGTGCTAGAATTTCAGCTGTGACAGAAAACTTGGATTCTGGACCAAATTGTAAGGCTATTATGAGTACAACATTTTCGTTTTGAATGGTTTTCTAGTAATTTTATGTTTGTAAGGTCCATGTAGAAAGATAGAACTGACTTTCTCTTTTTGGCACTATAATAGCTATAGAACCTTGAATATACTGTTCTAGTTAGTAATGGAAAATAGTCTGATCCTCTCATAATATATCCACTGAAATATCAGGCCATTTTTCTTTAATAACTAATAGAAAAAAACAAGAAGCAAACAGAGGCAAAGCATGTAGTATTCTCAACTGACTTAAATTATCTGAGGTTTTTGATTAGATTTGATCCTATTTGGTCACAAACAGGTTATTCACAGTCACTTAAATTGAAATGATGCTGATGTTGAGAGTGTTAATTCCCCATTCATGGTTTTGAGGGCAGGTGCCAAAGGAGATAAGGAAGAATAGAGGAAAATTGGCAGCTTTGTAACATTAGATGAATATTTTTTTCAGTTTTCTATGAAATATTGTTCCTTGTTTCCAGCATATTGTTAATTGTTAATCAGTTACTTGGTATTTTTTCCCGATACTGGCATTGAAACTCAGCCACACACAGGCTTGCACAGACTAGGCATTG